ATACATATATTCATTATTGTGGTGCAGAATTGAAAAGTGCAAAACAAAGTATTTTAATTTTAATTTTTAGGTTTGTTAATTTTACTGAAACTCATTATTCAAATGTTTACTTAGGAAATTACTTCATTATTCAAATTTAATTAATAAAGCTTTTTTCTTTCATTCATTTTAGGTCATAGCTGGAAAGAATGAATTTTTTTGCAGATTTTAACAATTCAAATTAGAAAAAGAAATAGTGCAAAAAAAGAGGAAGCAAAAAAGAAAAATGGGAAAAAGACTGGAAATAAAATATTTCATTGCTACTTTTAACAATTATGCAAAGCGAACGATTACTTAAATTTTCTCTTCTTTTGTTTTTAAATTATTTTATTTTATATTTTCATAATTAGAAAGAATGTTCTATTTGTTTTAAAAAAAAAAACAAAACGAAAGAAAGGAAAATAGTTGTCATAAAAAATGTGGGATTTTTAAAGAAATTCTACTTTCATTTAAATAATTTGAGTAATTAATTTTGGGTTTTTAAAGAAGCGTAATTAATTTGAATAATTAATTTTAGGTTTTTAAAGGAGCGTAATTAATTTCAGGTTTAGAGTTTTTAGAAGAAGTGTAAATTATTTGAAAAATTAATTTTAGGTTTATCAATTGTGGATTTTTTGGTCATTATGCATTTACCATTTTTAATTACCGATTTATTGTATGGACGATGGTTATTTGGTAAAGTAATGTGTAAATTTTATTGGTTTGGTGAAAGTGTTAATAAATTATTAAGCAGCTTTATAATGACCGCTCTTAGTTGGGATAGATATTTGTCAGTATGTTCACCAATTAAATCCATCAGGTTTCTTCTATCATTTTATATTTATAATGCAAAATAAAATAATTCGAAAATAATTGATCGGTAAAAATGAAGGAGACGAAACTGAATTGATATTATATATTGTAGTAATTTCGTTAACTAAACCTATTATATATTATATGCAGTAACAATTTTTATTAACTAGTTATTGTTAATTACAGGATAGAATTTTAAAAATTTTAATTAACAAAAAAAGAAAAGTGCCATCAAATTTTCTTTTAGCTTTATAATTTTTATTAAGAAAAATTATTTATAAATAATTTTGATTTATCTCAAAAATTTTTATTTGAAATAAAAATATTTTAAATGAAAATGGAAAGAAATTTTTTTGTCTAAATAAATTATTAATGAATGAAATTAATTGCATTAATTAAAATAATAGTGAATAATATTTTGCTAATTGTTTATTTGTTTCAGATTACGAAGAACAATTGTAGCATGTTTTGTTTTATTGTTATGTTCAGCTTTAGCAATAACACTTTTGTTACCTGTTGTAATGAATGCAACTGTTGTGAATGTTGATGTTCAAACAGGTAGCCTAATAACAGATAATCAAAATGATACTTATCATTTAGGTTTGTTCATTTTATCATATTCTTCTATTTACCTCTTTCACTCATTATTTTACACACTTTTTTTTTTGCTCATGAAAATGATGATGATAAAAATTGGTAAGGTTTTAAAATATTTCAAATTTAAATTTCAAATAATATTTTCAGATCATTATCATCATCATCATCATCATCATCATCATATAACACAAACAAAATGTATATTTGAAGAAAGCAATCCAACATTTATGTACTATATATTTACATGTGGCTTCTTATTACCTGCTCTTTTAATAACCTATTTTTACCTAAATGTAATTAAATTATTGCATTCTTTTTCGTTTTATAACTTTCTATCAAATTAAATATTCCCAAAACTACACCTTCTAAATCTTCATTACTTGTAGCAACTATTCTTTTAAGGTAATTATCCGATTGCACAAAAGTTTTGCAAATGTTCATCGATGCACTTTTATAGCGAAACAACGGAATATGCGAATACGACATGTAAATTTAAATTTTTAAATCATTTATATATTTTTTAATAGTATTATAATTTATAATGGCAATTTTTAAAATGATGAAATTTCCAATCATAAGGAAAAAAATTCCTAAAGATGATGATACATATGCAAAGAGATGATGGATACATAATCAATTTCAGGTGATAATATAGCCTGAAATTTCAAATGATAGACAATTTTTCTCCTGCATATTAGATATGAATTTAAAAATTTAAATCAATAATTTTTAGCATTATTTATAATAGGAAAGAAAGTTTACAGGTAACGAAACGAATTATTGTTATGATTTTATTTTATTTCTTTTGTTGGATGCCACATTGGATATTAAATTTATTGGCACATTTTGAGCTTATTGTTGTAAGTATCATTCTATTTTCTATGGTACCATAAATGAATGAAATAATAGATTGATATCTCTCCTATCAGTTAACTTATCTCTCCTATCAATTAACTTATCTTAAATAATCATAATAAAATTTTTCTTCAAAAAATAAGAGACGTTTAAAAAGAGAACTTTTTCATCATAACTACACATTAAACTTTTTCATCACTCTTTCATCTGTCAATTTACACATCAATATTATTTTAACTTAACTATCATATGATATATTATTATCCATATGCTAGATTTCCAACATGCTTTCTTAATTAATTAGCAACGAAAAAAAAGAAGATCTTGAATGGAAAATAAAAAAAATAAATGATATTTTTACAGGTAACCTGGTCAACTTTAACATTATCATCAATCTTTTTTGCGGCTCATTTATTGGTATGCTTTAATTCAGCTGTAAATCCCATCTTATATGCTCTTATCAATCGAGAATTACGTGAACAACATGCGAAAGCATTAATTAAACGATGTCGTTCATTATCAAATGCTACCAGTACTGCCTTAAATGCATTCATCAAACATTCTCATTAGTAGGTGGAATCAACCTCTTCCAATTACTACTGTAACATCATCTTTTCTTTCAACTTTTACCACGTAATTTGAGAGTGTAGATTTTTTTTTTGAAATTTTAATTTTCGAATATTTCGAAATGAAAATTAAATTTTACTTGTAAATAATTATTAAATGACAATTCTATCTGTTTCGTTTGCTAAATTATTATTAGCATATATATATATATTATGATTTAGTATCTTGAATATTCAATTTCAATTTTTGTAAAATTTATTAATTTTGCGCTTACTTATAGTAATTAAATTTGATATCATAAATAATTCATTACTGGAAATAATTATTCAAATTAGTATTAATAAATTAATTATAAGTTTGCATGTTAACTATTTATTGCATACTTTTCACTTCTCTCTCTTTTGCTTTCCTTTTTCACTTCAAATTTATTAAAATACATTTTATGTCAAAACAAAAATATTTATTATTTTAATGTATAATTAATATTCATCCTTTCATTATTTTGTATCAAATAATTAATTTGAATTCTAATTGATTACTTTATCCTTTTAATGAATTTTATTTAATTCGATTATTGAATTTTCTTAAATTCGATTATCATTTCAATTATGCATTTTGCTTTATTGTTTACAGTCCATATAATTTGTCCATTCACATAATTACATTCTAATAAATGCGTTGCTACCTTTTGTAATTAAATAGAATAACTTTGTTTTCTTCTAATTTGTATTTGCTAAATGTTTCTTTTTTCTCTTCAAGCTTTAGTCTTATGGAATGTGCCGAACCGTTACATTACAATTTTGATGCTATAAGCTGTCAGGAAAATCGACAACATATAAGGTACATTTTTTTAATTTTCCATTTTTATTCATAAAATTATGCATAAGAAATTGCTAAATGAATTAATTAAAAATATTTTATGATAATAAATTAATTAAGTTAGAAAAGCTATGAAATGTTTAGAAAATAATTTGCATGCAATCAGAAATGAGTTAAAAAACAAAACTTTTATCGTTATCAACTGATAACAACTTTAATCATCTAATATTAGCATAACAAATTAGAAAGTTAAGTATTAAATGAAACAAAATTTCTATTGCATTTTGTTTTCCCATCTCGTTTTCCGCTTAGATTAACTATCTATCTCTCAGTATTTAGTTGTAAATGATCAATAAATCGATAATGATCATCGATTCATTTACTTAAATAATTTTAATGATTATACAAAACATGCTTTAATGAAGTAATTGGTGTTAATTATTCACAAATAATATTTGGATCATACATTTATAAATATATTCATAAAATTACATATTTGCAATTTGAATTATTTTAATTTGTTTTTTTCAAAATGCATGAAGGGAAAGAAATAATTCATCAACAACAACTGCTTTATGTTCATTCAGCAGTCCGATAACACTAATCAGAAATGATGATAATGATGATGATGATGATGATGATGATAATGAACTTAAGACAGATTCATCATCTTCGAATTATTTACAACGAAAAATTACAAATGGTATGGACGCTGCTACATCGTTATTTTCATCTATTGGAACAATTGGTAGTTGGTGATATTATAAATCAATCAAAATTCAGTAAATCACGTTGCACTTTAAGATTTCAAGCAAAAGTTGATCAAATGGATTCATTTCATTGATATCTTTATTTTTCAACTTTTTGTTTCTTCCTCATATTTCATATAATAAAAAGTTCTTTTTTTTTGATTGTTTGTTGTATTTTTTGCAACATTGCAAATATTCCATGATACTTATATATTTTATAGAGTTAATTATCCAATGATACGAAATGATGAATTTATTTCAATAAATTACAAAACAAAAATCTCGCGAAAATCAATAGCACTCCTTAAATGCGTTGATCGCTTAAAAGGCTGAATGTTAAATTTTGAAATATTAAAAGTTTTCAAAACAAGAAGTAATTCACATAGCTGTCTATCTAGTTTAGTATAAATATCACTAGAAATCATGTTGTTGCAGAAGTTAAAAAATGGAAAACGGAAAAGTTAATAAGTTCAAAATGTTATAATCCATCATATATTGGAACCGGAAAAAAAAAACAACCCTTCCATTTAAGCAATTTATTTCTCCATGAAATTTCAAAATACACAACGATTATTAAAAAGTTTTCTTATTGACAAATAATTTTACCTTTTTTTTTTTTCAGTTCTTTAATACCTAAATATTTTGTTGAAATAATATAAAATTTACGAAATTTATTTCTGTAAACTATATTTCACTATGGTTTTCCTTTTGAAGGAAAAGAAAATAAGATAATTTACAACGAGATTTATATTTTAATATTTGATAAATCTTATCATATTTTAGATTATTTAATTTTTGATGAATTCAAAAATCTCAACAACAACAACAACAACAACTGATATCGTAAATGAAATATCAGTAATGTTTCTTTTTTTTGCATATCACTTCCGAACTTTATAATTGAATCATATCATTCTATAATTTCAAAATACAAATGATACAGTAATAACTAAGCGCTATAAATGAAATGATAATCTCATATTCAAAGAAATATTTCAATAAACTAATAATTTAATATAAATTCATTTATTGACAAAACGATTGTTTACATAACTATAACGAGTTTTACAGTAAGAAAAATGAAATTGGTTACTTTTGACCAACTCAAATTTCAGCTTTAATTTTATTATCTTTAATTAATTGGTACAAGCGCTTAACTTCAAATAGTTAAATTCTTTTTTTTCTTCGTTCTTTGAAGCTGTTATATTATTCTACCTTCTTTCAATTCCCATTAATTATAATTAATTAAGACGATCACCAAATATATTCGGATAAGGTTTTTCAATGTAATTATTCTGGATGAAACTTTGATTTGTGCTGTAAAAAAAATGATATTAAAACACAGGTAACATAATCTATGACAAGTCCTGATAACATTTCGAAAGAGTGGCACCTAAAATAATGACAGGAAATAATAGATCAAAGTTGTAATTTTGGTCAAAATAATTTTTCATCATTCTTGGCATACCTTTCCGTATCACAGTAGAAGTGAAATGATTGTCAGGAAGTTTTTAATCGTTAAATAACTATGATTGACAATAATGATATTAATACTTCTCAAATACTTCAATTGAAAGATCACTATCAGCATACTGTTTATCATTTTTTTTTTCCTCTGTTAGGACGATAACATGTTTCGATACGATGATAATGTGTGTAAAAAAAAAGGTCAGGCCCTTGATCTTTTTCATGTTTGACCTTAATCATTCTGTCTGATCTACTTTTTTTTTTTGGTTAGATTGCAAATTATTCGCAAAATTACAAGTATATTTCGTTATCTTTCATGATTCATGAAAAGATGAAATAACAGGCTATTGTATAGCACGATTTACAGTTTAAATTTCAAATCACATCGATTTGTTGAACCTGAATGAGAAAAAAAGAAAACACTAAAAAGAGATAAAAGTAAAAAAGATATGATAATAAGGAAGGTAAATTCATTAAACTGATCAATACCTTTTTTCTGTATTTCCACCTCCTCTTATAAAATTTAAATAAGCAGTATAAAGGTATTAGAAATGGAGAAAATCATTTTCCGTTCATTTCTTCCGCTTAATTTTTGAAAAGGCATTTTACCGCATTTTTACAATTTTATCCATCTTTATATCATTGCCAACTGTCACTATCAATCTGTCACAATCATTTATACCTCTTTTCTTAATTTCCTCAAAAATTCCTTTCGTTTATTTTGTTTTTTCCAATCATTCATTCTCTCTCATATCTTCATTAAGTATCAATTTTTCATTATAATTTTTGTTAGTGACAGATCAAATTTATCGTTATCATTTAAATATTATTAAATTAAGCAAAAAAACAAAGAACGGATAAAATTTGGTTATCATAGTTAGAGAGAATTTACAACAACAAAATTTCATACCATATAAAAATTAGTTTATCAAAATAGTATTTTTTAAAAAATTCTCATCATCGTACTACATTTATCCTCTATCTTAACAATCATTATGTGATAAAATTACGATATCTAATAGTAATAGTACTAAATAGAAATATTTGATATACTAAATTTTAAATATCGTGAAATATTTATCACTAGAGAATAGTTATTTGTTTCTTTTCTGTTTAAATATGATTCATCAATTTATTCATTTATTAATTTATAGTTAATTAAAATTTAATTTAAACTTTTAAACAATCAATACCACTAAAAAAGGTTAATGAAATTTGTCAAAATTTATAAGCTTTTATAAATAATCGTTTTCTATGAAAAAATAATCAATAAAAGCAAAATGAAAAATGTCACGTACAGTTTCAAATGTATTTACAAATTTGCACGTATACTTTTCCAAATATATTTACAAATTTGCACGCATTGCTTTTAATTGTTACCTGAAGAGGTAACTCGCCCAAAAAATTCGGTATGGATTTGTTTGCCATTTTCCATTATAAGGATTAAACCCTTATTTCCTCGTACCCATTTTAAGGCACTTGAATTAATACCGATGAGCTTATTGGTTTATTGCATTCGATGCACTTGTTCGCCACATCGATATTTCGATCTCGACAAGTGCAACGGATGCCTGTTAATCTCATCCGATCACTTCCTTATATGTTTGTTAACATTTGTAGCATTTAGTGGATTACCATATTAATATCAATCATTCTGTAATACAATAATATTATCTATTAATTTATCTGTTTTTCTTCTTACAAAAAATATTTATCTTTTAATTTCTTTTTTTCTTACATAAATCTTATTAATTGAAATATATAATATTTCTTTTCTTTTTTTTTTGTCTTACTATTACTATTTCTATGAAATAATTTCTTTTTTTAAAAGAAAAAGATAATGATAAAAATTAAATTAATTTCATTCTTTACTAATTTCTTTTTTTATTCGTTGATTAAAATTATAAATCTTAAATTTTGTATTTTAAAAGAGATTTGAATTTTGGCAAATTCCGAATTTTGAATTTTGAATTTGAAAGAATTTGAATTTTGAAGAGTTTTGAATCTTTGACAAATTTTAAATTTTGAATTTGGAAGAGATTTAAATTTTAACAAATTCCGAATTTTGAATTTTGAAATCGAAAGAGATTTGAACTTTGAATTTTAAAAGAGATTTAAATTTTGACAAATTTTAAACTTTGAAATTTTAAAAAGAGAAAAAGTGAATTAAATGAATTTATTTATTATTAGTAGTGAAATATAAAATGATTTTGTATTCTTTTTTAGTAAAAAATTAAAATTCATTTAATATTGAAAAATTTTCACATAAATTTACAAACATAATTTTTTTTCTATCAAAAAAATTTGAAAATGATTTGAAAGGTAGTAAAGAAAGAAGTTAGAAGAAAATATTATCAATTGATTAGTTTTTGTTTATTTTTTTGAATTTCAAATTTTTTACTGAAAAAAAACGAAATCTAAAATATTTTTCGAATATCAATAATATTAGGAAAGGTAGTAATGAAAGAAATGAGTGAGTGTTTAATTTGAAAATTTTTTAAGACAAATAATTAATTACATGTTTTCTTTTGTTTTGATATTTATAAGATGATATTAGGAAATATTGTGAAATCACAAATGATTGAATTTTATAAGGAAAGGTAAAAATTGAATTGCTTGCAAAAGTTTCACATTTCCAATACCAAGAAAATTTTGTCGCAGTAATTAATTAGAAATGAAAAATTATCGTTTGCAAAACAAATCTCAATCAATCATTATCATATCAGTGTCCTTATAAAATAATCATTAGGAAATTTTGCAAATGAAATGAAAATGATAATTTCGAATTCATTCAAATCTATACTTTATCAAGTATATGCAAATTGTTAATGACATTATATTATAATATTTGTTATCAGTGATAATATTATTACTAAACGTTTCAGTGATACTATTCTTTTATAAAATTTAACAATTAATTTATCTAAAATTTCAAATAAAGCAATTTATGTTTCTTTATTTCAAAGTTCATTTATTTATTTTAATTCGCTAGCTAAGGTAGAAAGGCGCAAAAATTCCTTTTATTATAACTATTATAATAACTATAATTATAATACCTATAGCATTATAATAACTATATTATTATAATAACTAAAATAGAAACATAAAATGATGAAACGCAGCATAGTGCGCTTAAAAATCTTATCAAATTTGAGAAGTAATACTATTAAATATGAGAAAAAGTTATCACTAAATGAAAAAAAAAAACAAAGGTAATTAATAAATTTTAATTTTAAATACCAAAATTCTTAATTTTAAATAAATGTTATACTTACTTCTTTTTTTTTTTACTTAATTTGTTAGCCAAGAATGAAAGTTTCAAAAAATCGTTTTCATATTAATGAAAAATTTGTACTAAAAAGAAACTTAACAATTAACCATATAATGAAGTGATAATGATAAGGAATAAATAAACAATGAGATTGATCAAATATGAGAATATAACAACAAAAAAAATTACTAATTTGGATACAAAAAGCTTTTGAACGAAGATAAGCGCATCTATCCCATAGATATAACGATATCGATATCTAAATCTACATA